CGCCGCTTCTGGGAACTGCCCCGGCAGTGGAGGGGGCCAACGAGCGTGGGAGCCCCTGGATCTGGCAGGCATCCCTGTCTCCCACTGGCAGGCCTGGGGGGTTTGCTTTCAGGGATGGGTGCTGGCTTGCACACGTTGTGTGCCCCGTTGCGCACCCCATCGCACCCCGCGGCCCTCCGTGGGCTCCTCGTCCTTTGCCCCGGTGCGGCGGGGGGAGCGAGGCGTTGGGGTGGTTTGATCAGGGCTGGTGTGTGGGATCTCTCCGTCCACCTGGAGCCGGGTGGCCGCTGGCCTGCCCGAGCGGCAGATGGTGGCTGCCTGGGGACCCGCCATCCGTCCCTCCGGGCGATTATTCACCCGTCGCCATGGCGATAGAAAGGTCAGCGAAAAGATCCCTTGCGATTCCTGGGTTGGGTCGGTGGGATTAGGAGCGGCGCGGGAGGGACGACTAGGGGGAGGATAGGGCCCAGCCAGCCCTGCCAGCTGGACTGTCCCTCTCGGGCACTGTCTGCAGAGCCCGGCCAGCTGAGAACTGGCAAACTCTGGGCACCAGTGGGAAATCCCTGGGACAGGGACAGGTCCCTCTGGCTGCTGATCCTGAGAGCTCAGCCCTGACCCTGTGGGTCCCATCCTGCGTGGGGAAGGCCTGGAGCTGTGTGCAGGGTGAAGGGGCTGGGCTGGCATTGGGGGACAGCAGAGGAGGGATGGGGCTGTGCTGATGGGGGCTTGGCTGGTCCTGCATCCTTTCTCCTCCTCCTCCTCCTCGCAGCAGGTTGTCTCTCCTTGCGGTGTGCCCCCAGCTGACCCGTGTCCCGTCTCTCTCCAGGCTGTTCCTCTAAGTCGTTCAAGCTGTACTCGCCAAAGGAGCCCCCGAACGGCAACGCCTTCCCCCCCTTCCACCCGGGCACCATGCTGGATCGAGATGTGGGGTGAGCTGGGGCCTGGGGAGGGGTCTGCAAGGTTGGGGGTACTCTGCAGTCTGCACCCCAGGGTCTCTCTGTCGTGCTTCCCAGCAGCATACAGAGGCTGCGGCGCATGGAGTTGAGTTAGCACAAGGGGAGAGAGGGGATTGGAGCAGGCATGGGTGGGACTGGGTGAAGAAAGGGCGATCTTTGGGATGAAGGGAGTCCCCAGGTCCCTGAGCTCTGTGGGGCCAAGTCCCTTGCCAGGCCAAGCCCCTGTCAGCTCCTCCCCCAGCCTCCGTCCTGCCTGGCACCAGCCCCAGCTGCAGAGGAGCCAGGCACATCTCCAGAGAGCCACAGGCCAGGTCCCAGGGGTGGAGGAGCAGCCACTGGTGCAGGAGCAGAGGTTTCAGGAGGGGAGGTCACTCCACGGGGTTGTCGGCAGCCAGGGTGCAGCCCGCAGCATGCATAGGGTCTCGCCTCCAGGGAGCTCAACCGCCTGCTGCTGCAGGCAGGGAAGAGGCAGCTGCAGTGGCCAGGGAGGGAGACCCCCCCCCAGCACTGACCTGCCTGTGTTTCTTTGCCCCCCCAGACCTACTCCCATGTACCCACCGACGTACCTGGAGCCTGGAATTGGGTAAGTGTGGGGGTCTGGCAGGGACCCTGCTGGGAGGGGAGCTGGTGCCTGCAGTGGGGATGCCTCGGCAGGGCTGGCACGCTGCTGGCCGCAGGGGTTTGCAGGGGGGTTGCTTGGACTCTGCCCAGCCCTGGAGGGGCTGTGCATCCCCTGCTGTGGGCTCGGGACCCCTCCCCACCCCATGGTTGCCTCCCACTCTGACTGCTTGCTCTGCTCTCTGGGCAGGAGGCACACGCCATATGGGAACCAGACCGACTACAGGATATTTGAGCTCAACAAGCGGCTGCAGAACTGGACAGAGGTGGGGAGCTGGGGGAGTGAGGGGTGGCCAGGGATGGGGGGATGCTCCCAGGTGTGTATTTTGGGGATGGGGTGTTCTGCGCTGCCTTGGCTCTAGGAGGATCCCCTTGGCAGCAGGGTCCTGTCCTGCTGTGCAGGTCTCCGAGCGCCTTGGCCCTTGCTTGGCCGTGGGACAGGGTTCATCATCCCCATCTCCGAGTGCTCAGCTGGGAGCACAACCCTATGCGGGCTGAGCACGTGGCTGCTGTGCCTGGCAGCCAGCAGCTGTCTGTCTGTGTGTCTCCCCTCCCTGTAACCTGGCATCTCTCTGCCGTCCCCAGGAATGTGACAATCTGTGGTGGGATGCCTTCACCACGGAGTTCTTCGAGGATGATGCCATGTTAACAATCACTTTCTGCTTGGAGGATGGACCAAAGAGATACAGTGAGTAGCAGCTCGAGCCCTCCTTCCCCAGGGCATTGCTTCTCCGGCAGGAGATGCAGCAGTTGCGCTGTGCGGGGGGATATGGGCAGGGTGTCGGAGCTCAGCTGCCTCCAGCCAGAGGGGACTGGGGACCCCTCTCCCTGTGCAGCCCCAAGGCACAGCTGGGTAGGCCAGCTTTACTGACGTTATCTTCCTCCTTCTCCTGCTCCAGCGATCGGCCGGACCCTGATTCCCCGTTACTTCCGCAGCATCTTTGAAGGGGGGGCCACAGAGCTCTACTACGTGCTCAAGCACCCCAAGGAGTCCTTCCACAACAACTTTGTCTCGCTGGACTGTGACCAGTGCACCATGGTCACCCAGCACGGCAAGCCCATGTTCACCCAGGTACCGGCTGCACCTGCAGCTTCTCCTGCCCCTCGTGCCTTGGTCCCGTGTGCCCTCGGGGTGGCTGTGGTCCCATGGGGCCATTGTGGGCTCGTGGGTTTGGCTTGTGCCGAGTCTCATGGCAGGCATGGGCAAGCCACCAGGAGGGTGTCCCAGTGTGCAGCAGTGGGTGCCCAGGGGATCTGGGCTGGGGGAAGTGGGAGCAGCCTGTGCCTGACCCTGCGCCCTGCCCAGGTGTGTGTGGAGGGGCGGCTCTACCTGGAGTTCATGTTCGACGACATGATGAGGATAAAGACGTGGCATTTCAGCATCCGCCAGCATCGAGAGCTCATCCCCCGCAGCATCCTTGCCATGCATGTGAGTACCGCTCTGGGGACTCCCCTGGGGCAACGGTGACACAGGGCTGCTGTGCAGGTTCGGGGGACCTCAACCCTGACCCCCCGTCGCAGGCCGGGGCACGGGAGGGCCGTCCCCAGCCCGGGTGCCACTGAGCCATCTGTCCCTCTCGCTCCTAGGCACAGGACCCCCAGATGCTGGACCAGTTATCCAAGAACATCACCCGCTGTGGGCTCTCAAACTCCACACTCAACTACCTCCGAGTAAGCGTGCAGCAAGAGGGGGGGATGCAGGTCTGCTCCCAGGGTGGGGGGACCTAGGGTCGCCACGTCTTGTGCTCGCAGCTGCCTGATGCCTGGCTGCCCTGGGGTGCGGGGAGGCAGCGGGGCAGGCTCTGCAAGAGGGGTCTTGCAGATGAGCTGCAGAGAGCCGTGGGGCAGTGGGTCTCCTGGGGCCCGCAGGCTCCCAGTGCGGCTTGGGTCGGTGCAGCGCAGACGGCTGCCCAACAAGAGGGGCTTTTGCTGGGGCCTGGAGCATCGCGATCTAACCCTGCATCTGTCTGCTCCCTGCAGCTCTGTGTAATCCTAGAACCAATGCAGGAGCTCATGTCACGGCACAAGACCTACAGCCTCAGTCCCCGGGACTGCCTCAAGACTTGCCTCTTCCAGAAGTGGCAGCGGATGGTCGCTCCGCCTGGTGAGTCTCACGCTGCCTGCCATGCTGCTCCCGGGTCTCTGGGGCTGCCCGCTTAGGTCCTGCCCTCGGCGCAGGCTTCTCCCAGCCTCAGAGCCTGGCCTCGTCTTGTGAGGCTGGGGGCAGCGAGTCAGGCAGCCGGCTTCCTTCTCTGCTGGCCTGCCTTCCCGCTGGGGCAGAGCGGGGCTGCAGGCGGCCAGCGCTCCCTGCCCGGCGGCTGCCAGCCGCTTCTGGAAAGCAAAGCAGGGACGGAAGTCTTCCCTGCACCCTCTCCTGTCCCCTGCGCTGGGGGCACAGCGAAGCTGCAGAGGGGAGAAGGGTGATGATGCTGCCCGGGGCGGGGGGGGTGGGATGTGGTGCTTACAGAGAAGGGGCTGGGGGGCACTGGCTCCTTCTCGTCGGGAGTGACCGTATCTCCCTCCTCCGCCAGCGGAGCCAGCACGGCAGCAGCCCAGCAAGCGTCGGAAAAGGAAGATGTCGGGGGGCAGCACCATGAGCTCTGGCGGGGGAAACACCAACAACAGCAACAGCAAGAAGAAGAGCCCGGCCAGCACCTTTGCCCTGTCCAGTCAGGTACCTGTAAGCATCCCGTTTCCATTCTCTCTTCCTCCCCCGGGGTGGAGGGGAGGGCTCCCTGCCCCAGCCCCCGGGAGTGGCTAGGGGGAGAACCCCAGGGATTGCCTGTCCAAGCCCCCCCCGGCTCTCTCTGGCTGATGGGGAGAAGGAGGGGGTGTCCCAGCTGCCTTCCCTGAGCTGCTTTGCTCCCCTGCAAGGGGGTGGTGAGGATGTGCTGCCCCACACGGTGCCCGAGCCTCGGGTCCTGCGATGGAGATGAGGAGGTGGCCCTGTGGCTGGGGAAAGGGGCTGTGGTGTGTGGGGGGGGTCTGGCGGCCCGGGCTCCCCCCACCTCGATTATGTTTCGGGACCGTCTCCCCTTTCAGGATGTGATGGTGGTAGGCGAGCCCACGCTGATGGGGGGGGAGTTTGGGGACGAGGACGAGCGGCTCATCACCCGGCTGGAGAACACGCAGTTTGACGCTGCCAACGGCATCGACGACGAGGACAGCTTCAACAACTCGCCGGCGCTGGGGGCCAACAGCCCCTGGAACAGCAAACCGCCCTCCAGCCAGGAGAGCAAGTCAGAGAACCCCACGTCGCAGGCGTCGCAGTAACGGCCCCCCCGCCGCCCTGTGGACTCAGTCCCAACCGATCTACCTGTACATTTGCAACGGAGAGTGACTGGGAAGCGGCGAGGTACCGGGGGCGGATCGGCGCCACGCGGCCGACGGGGTGCACGGCCCGGGGCGTGCGCCAGGCGGGCAGCCCCCAGCCCTCGCCCCCCGCCGCCTCCCCGCTCCCCCCACGCCTGCCTCCCTGCCGGACCCCAGGGCAGGGGTGGGTTTCCGGGGCCGTAGCTTCGTTATTCCCCCTTCTCCCTCTTCCTCCCTGCTTCTTCCCCGGAGAGCTTCTCATCCCCACCCCAATGTGCCCAACCCCTGCCTGCTGAGCGGGGGGAATTAGGAGGGAGGTGTTGGCAGTGGCTGGTGCGACTGGGAAGCCAGTGGCGTGCAGGTGCCGTGTGTTGGGGTCTGGCACAGCCCAGAGACCCTCCTCCTCCTCCCCGGGTCCTACGGCTGGGGTTTGCTGGGCAGCCACCTGCAGTGGGGTTGCACATCCCCAGCCCAACCTGGGGCTGGGTGGTGGGGGCCGGTGATGGAAAGCCTTCCCTGTGCCGTTGGCTCTGCCACGGAGCCTCCTCCGGCCAGGGTCGGATCCTGCTGCGCTGGGGTGGCGTCGAGGATAGGGCCCCGTCGCATTGCCCCGCTCTCCCGCACCCTCCCCTTCCCCTCGCGCCCCAGGGGCGAGAGCGCAGCAGGGCCGTGGGGGGACTCTGTATATAGGAAGTGCGTGGTGGGGGG